ATATATATATGTATATATTTATATGACGAACGGTTTATAGTAACCATTTGAAACGGCTGCGGGACGAAATGGGCCACATGACATATATTGGAATGTTAGTGCGATGTGATGTGCACGAAGTATAGTCCAATGTTCAGCTCTGTTAGTGCGATACAGAGTGCATGAATGACAGTCTGCCGCTACGCTCGGGTGGATGAGCTCGAGACATAGGAGCCGAGTTAAAAAGTTAGCCAATGATGTGCTATAGCAATAATTAGCACTAGCGCACTTGTTGTTGCTGATAGGACCAGTAGTAAATACTACTTCATATGCTGTTGATGTGCTATAACAATGATTAGCACTAGTGAACTTGTTGCTGATAGGAGCAGCAGTAAATACTACTTCATATGTTTTTATCCTGTCATTCCCTTTGTCATCTATGCGTAAAGACAGTTGAGCATGCCCCCCTTGTAGGTATTATCTTCCCGTATTTATAAGTTAACGGATTGTCTGTAGATAGTATATAGTTTGTGAGTCGCGTACAGACACTTGATCATACCCCTGTGTAGGTAGTATCTTCCCGTGATGACAAGTTAACGGATTGTCTGTAACCAGTGTATAATTTCCCGTGATCACAAGTTAACGGATTGTATGGAAATGTGTATAGTTTGTGAGTCGAGTTGTGGATCGTACAAAGTGGTACCCAGGCACTCTCTGGTGATTGGATCCTTCTCAAAGGTCTGCCGCAGTAAGATCGAGTGTTCACGAATACACAGACAACATTGAACGGGCAATAGCTAGACGCTCTGGGTAGTAAGCCATATCGGGGTTAATCTATGTTTTAGGGTATATATATATATATATATATATATATATGTATATGTATATATATGTATATATGTACATGTATATGTATATGTATATATATATATATATATATATATATATATGTATATATATATATATATATATATATATTTATATATTTATATATATATATATATATATATTTTATATATATTTATATATATATATTTATATATATAT